CACACCTAGTGGTCCTCAGGGTTCACTCCTTAGCAGTGCTTGGGGACCATCTGGGGTGCCAAGGATTGAACCTGGCTTGTCCGCATGCAAGGCAAGCTGTATGATCTGTATGATCTTTCTGGCTCCCAGGACCCGTATCTTGTATCTAGAGAAAATATAAAAAACACAAAATTAAAAAAAAAGACCCCACACTTTAAGGGGGCAGGGATGGGGGCCTCTGGCTGCCTGTCCTGCAGAGTTTTTACTGGCCACACCAGCTGCGTGGGGGCTTTCAAGGCTGCAGTCAGCCGTGCTCAGGGGACCATGTGGTGCCAGGGTCAAGCCCAGGTCTGCCAATGCCAGCATCTTAAACCCTGTGCTGTCTCCCTGGCCCTAACGAGCAAAAGATTTAAACTGATGCCTTATCAATAGACGTAACGTGTTAACAAAGCATCTAAAAGGATCACTGCCACTGTCCTCCCGTTGTTCATCAGTTTGCTCGAGCGGGCCCAGTAACGTCTCCATTGTGAGACTTGTTGTTACTGTGTTTGGCATATCGAATACGGTCACGGGGAGCTTGCCAGGCTCTGCCGTGCGGGCGAGATACTCTCGGTAGCTTGCCGGGCAATCCGAGAGGGGCGGAGGAATCGAACTCGGGTCGGCCATGCTGGCTGCGTGCAAGGCAAACGCCCTACCCGCTGCGCTATCGCTCCAGCCCATCTAAAAGGATGTTCAACATAATTTGTCATTTTAAAAAGGGTCAGTTAAACCACGAGGGGCTGGATAGTACAGTGGGTAAGGTGCTTGCCTCGCACACAGCCAACCCAGGTTTGAGCTCCGGCACCCCATGGGGTCCTCCAAGCCGTGTTAAAACTGAACCCTGAGCATCAGCCGATGTGGCTCAGAAAAAACAAAAACAAAAATGACAGCGAGAAAAGAGAGAGAGAGAGAGAGAGAGAGAGAGAGAGAGCACAGCATACCCAGCAGAAGGATTAACATGAAAAAAAAATATTGACATATGAACAATTTACTGGCAAGGAGATGGAGGAACTAAAAAAATAAAATTGTGGGGGGTGGAGCACACCCAGCAGTGCTCAGGAATCATTCCTGAAAGGCTCGGGGGACAAAATAGGATGCCAGGGACTGAACCTGGGTCGACCGTGTGCAAGGGAATGCCACGTCTATTGTACTATCTCTCCAGCCCAGAACTGGAATTCTTATACACTGCCACTGGGAATATAAAATAATACAATTCTGAAGAGATAGTACAGAGGGTAAAGCACTTGCCTGACACACAGGCAACCCGGGTTTGATCCTCGGCATCTCCTATGGTCTCCTAAGAACCACGAGGAGTGATTCCTGAGCACAGAGTCAGGAGTAACCCCTGAGCATTGCCAGGTGTGGCCCAAGCAACAAAAAATTTAAAAAAAAATAATAAAACAACACAATTTCTCTGGGATAAAAATCGCCAGTTTCTTTAAAAATTAAAATGGAATTTACCCAAGACAATAAAACTGTAAGTACACACAAAGCCTTATGCATGTTTGAGTTTTTTGTTTGTTCATTTTTTGGGCCACACCTAGCAGTGCTCAGGGCTTACTCCTGGCTTGTGGGACCATATGTGGTGTCAGGGATCTAACCCAGCCACACGCAAGGCAAGCACCTTCCTCCTATACTACCTATCTCTCTGCTTGTCTTGGGGCTACACTCGGTGGAACATATAAGGATCATATGATACCGGCAATATGCAAAACATGAGCTCAGCCTGTTGCGTTGTCTCTCTGGCCCCATGCTTGTGCATGTTTGTAATCCTGTGTGTAATTGCTAACTCTGGTTTCCCTTCAGATCACATAAATCTTTTGCCTTTTACTATTCATAATTGCTCCTAACATCGAAGCCCTAGCCAAACAGGGCATTCCAACTCAATACATCAGGATCCTCTGTGAGCTGTATTACGAATTCACTACCAGGATCTCACCATTCTACGGGGAAGTGATCACTGACGTCAAGAGAGGGGTTCGGCAGGGCTATACCATTTCACCGAAACTCTTCAGTGCTACCCCCGAGAACTTCATGCGATGACTAGAATGGGAAGGAATGGGAGTGAAGACACACGGTCGGCAACTACACAACCTTTGTTTTGCTTATGACATCATTCTAATAACACCAAACATTAGCCAAGCGGCACAAATGCTGGCTGACTTCGACTGTAAGTGTGGAAAGGTCGGACTACAGCTGAATCTCACGAAGACAATGTTTATGAGAAACAGTCTCATTCCTGGCGCTCCATTCGCTCTCAATGGAACCACCATCTCCGAATGCAACAGTTATGTGTACCTAGGTGGAGAAGTCAACATGATGAATGACCTGGCACCTGAGTTGCGCCGGAGGAAGAGAGCAGCTTGGAATGCCTTCAAGAGCGTTGAAGAAATAGCTAAGAGGACGAAGAACCTCCAGCTCCGGGCACATCTCTTGGATTCCACTGTTCTTCCTGCATTAACATATGCCTCAGAGACCTGGGCCCTATGAAAACAGGATGAGAACGCTATTCGGGTCTCCCAAAGAGGAATCGAAAGAGCTATGCTTGGAGTATCATGCTTCACTCAAGTGAGAGAAAGAATCCGGAGTTCTGACCTCCGTCGATGGTCAAGAATCAGGAATGCTGTCTGGTTAGCCAAGGCATTGACAATCAGATGGGCTGGACACGTAATGCAAGTTGGAGATGACCGCTGGACTAGAACCATTACCGACTGGATTCCACGGGATGTCAAAAGATCGTGTGGCCGCCCACCTACGAGATGGTCAGACTTCTTTGTCAAGACCCTGAACGATCGGTTTGAGTCTCTTCGTGTTCCTAGAACGAGCAGACGTCATTGGGCTACACTAGCACACGACAGGGACGAATGGAGACGTTACTGGCGCCCGCTCGAGCAAATCGATGAGTAACGGGATGTCAAGTGATCAAGTGATCAACTTAAGAAAAATGTGCTAGCAGCATAGCAGGAAGAATGGCCTTATGGGCACTTACTTTAGTTAAGTTAAAGGAGGACACGGAGGGCCATGGGGAACACGCAGCTGAGCACATGAACTCTGCAACCTGCCACGGCCGACAGCACAGCTAAATGCGTGAGCACCACTGTCAGGAGTGAGTGCAGCCCTGGGAACATTCACACAGCAGCGAGGGAAGGAGGCAAATAAAGACACCTAAAATGTGTGCGATTTATACACCTAAGTATGTGTGATTCACTGTATGACAATGACCCCTCAGGAAAGAAATTAAGACAAAAGTTAAGGCAAAAGGTTTTCTTACATTAAGTCATTTGGTTATGATATTGACTTATTATTATTATCATTATTATTATTATTATTTTGTCTTTTTGGGTCACACCTGCGATGCACAGGGGTTACTCCTGGTTCTGCACTCAGGTATCACCTCTGGCGGTGCTCAAGGGACCATACGGGATGCTGGGAATCGAACCTGGGTCGGCCGCAGGCAAGGCAAACGCCCTACTTGCTATGCTATTGCTCTAGCCCCTGACTTATGTTTTTAAGAAACAGGACCCTAGAAAGATAGCACAGAGGGGAAGGTGTTTACCTTGCATGTGGCTGACCCGGGTTTGATCCCTGGCATCCTCTACGGTTCCCCGAGCACCACCAGGAGTGATTCCTGAGTGCAGGGCCAAAGTTACCCCTGATTATTGCCAGGTGTGGTCCCCAACACAAAACACAAATAGGAATGGGGAAGATGACTCAAAGGTCTGATGGCCTGATGACATGCTTTACATGTGGGAGCCCCAGGTTTAATTCCCCGGTACCAAATGGTCCCATGAACACCACCAAGAACCCTGCTGGGTGTGGTCCAAAAAGAAAACCAAAACACCTAACGAAACGCCTAACGCATGAAGACACTGACTTTTTCCCGTCCTGGTTTAGATCACTTCTGACACTTTCTGAACTAGTAGACAAACTGATCTCTTGGGCCGGTGATAACATGCAATCATGTCCCGTCTTCTATGGCTGGCTCATTGGTTCATAAATGGCTATTTAATTTTTCCCTGTAAACCAGCAAGCAATTCACAGTCAGTCCTTGTAGCCTACATTTTCAGGGGGTAGCGACAATGTCCGGCACAGTGGTAGACAGAGCAGCTGGACCAACATCTCTACCTCAGCCACATGCTTCCCAGACTCCGTGACAATTCTGAGGGGCTGAGGGCAGCATTAAAAACAGAAATTGGGAAATGTTTTCTATTTTTATTCCCACTTACCTGGAAAACAGCATAGAGCCATCGAAGGGGGTTGGGGGTACCCACAGCAACACTGTTCTATGAGCCACCGCGGTGTGGACGATATCTAAGTGTAGAACTGCCCCTCAGTGAGGCCAGCAAGCTGTGGGCTGAGGAAGGCTCACAGAGACGGACGGGAGAGCAGCACCGCCAGGGTTTGTGTTTCTGAGGGCCATCCCCAGTGGTGCTTAAGGGTCACTACCAGGAGTGTTTTGAGGGACTCTATAGTGCTGGGGGCTCAACCCTGGGTCTCCTGCATGAAAAGAACACTCAGAGCGTGCTATCTCTCTCTCTCTCTCTCTCTCTCTCTCTCTCTCTCCACCCCCTCTCTCCCTCTCTCACCTTTCTTTCTCTCCTCTCTCTCTCACCTTTCTCTTTCTCTCTTCACTCTCTCTCTCCCTCTCTCACCTTTCTTTCTCCCTCTCTTTCTCCCTCTCTCTCTCTGCCCTCCCTTGCTTTCTCCATTTTGACAGAATAGTACTCACCAGGAAAAACAAAACGATGAAACGAACAAACCAAACCGCAAAGCATGCTGGGCAAAGACATCCTTTAATTAGACATCCTGGGTGGAGAGCGTACTCCAGCTGTGAGGCTCCTGTACGTGGCTCCCTCCTCCTCCCTCCTCAGCAGGAAGGGACAGGGGAGCACCTGTCTACGTGGTCATCATCTCAGTCAAGGTGAAAGGGTTGAAAACAGCTGCCCCTGGTGGATGGGCCTCTCGGGGCCTCCTGAGCAGGATCAAAGATACTGCAGATACTCCTGAGATAAGGAGCTTGAATTTGACAGTCGCCGAGCGACATCCTCATTGCCTAAAGAAATGTGTCTGTTGAAGGGAGTTATATGAACCTTGCATTTAAGTTTGTAGATCATATGTGCTTCATTAATGACAAAGAATATCCAAAAGCAGTGCATTGACACGCGGCTAACCAAGCCAAACCAGCGCAGAACTCGGATCTGTATAACAGTGGTACTGCTATTGGTGTAGATTTGTATGACAATGTTTATACATTCATAAAAAACGATCCAGATAATATAGAAAAACAAGCCCTTCAAAAGCTGGGCGTACACGGAGTATATAAGGAAGCCACTGACGATGACGGTCAAGAAAGACAGGGAGAAAACGATTTCCAAAGAACTGCAACCAAGGAGACTTATACCTGAGTAACTGGCCTTGTACTCCGAGCAGTTGATCCTGCTCAGGGAGCTTTGTTCAAAGATGAGGTACATATTGGAAGACATTATGGAAAATGCCCCTGACATTATGGAACCCATTTTCGCAGTCATCCCACACCAGTACTTCGGTTTCACGCTGATACTTCCTGTGAAGACAAAAAAATATGAGGGGTGGGGCTGGAACAATAGCACAGCGGGGAGGGCGTTTGCCTTGCACGCAGCCAACCTAGGTTCGGTTCCCAGCATCCCATAGGGTCCCCCGAGCACTGCCAGGAGTAATTCCTGAGTGCATGAACCAGGAGTAACTCCTGTGCATCGCTGGGTGTGACCCAAAAAGCAAAAAAAAAAAAAAAAAAACAAGTGTTCCAGTTCCTGTCAATGTGATGAATCACTAGACTTGCTCCTTCCCTTTCCCAGCTTCCCCTGGAGAAGCAATAGAGAGAAATATAGAAACCAAGAAATAATCTTTTGGGAAAGAAGACTGGTCTGAAAACTAAAAGAGTCTTGTTTAAAATTGATAGGAGGACCCGAGAGCTGGTACAGTAATTAAGGTGTTTGCCTTGCACGTAGCTGACCTCGGTCTGATCCCTGGCACCACACACATCCCCCCCACGCAATGTCAGGTTTCCCTGAGCACAGAGTCAGGAGTCATCCACGAACACTGCTAAGTGTGGCTCCCAAATAAAAAGTCATTAAAAAATTAATTGGGGGAAGAAGTTCAGAGAAATGCATCAGGACTGGGGAGCTGGGTCCGGGGCTGAGTAGGTGTTTCGCATGTGGGAGCCCTGGGCTTGACCCTGGCACCAGCTGTCCTCCCATCGCTGAGTTGGTGGAGCCCTGAGCATCAAATAATCAACAGCAATAAAGGAGGAGAGGCATGACAGACACAACGAAGTTTTGACTCAGAGAGAGAAAATGAGGTAACGTGTTTGAAGAAATAATATTTGAAGATTTGCATAGTCAAAGAAAAATTACCAACCCATAGATTCAAGAAATCAACAGAAAGTTCCTAGGGCAAATAAAAGGTTTAAAACTGTTGGATAGCAAATGCTGAAAGAAAAGCTCAAAAGTGGTTGTGCATCTTTTTCTTCGAAGGAGCAAGCGGTGGGCTGGAGAGAGATGGTACAGGGAGATAAGACACTTGCCTCACAAGCAGCGGTGCGTGCCGGATCCTTGGCATCTCATACAGGCCCCTGAGCACCGTCAGGAGTGACTCCTGAGTGCAGAGCCAGGAGTAACCCCTGAGCATCACCAATTGTGGCTCGAAAACAAACAAAAAAAAAAAAACAAAAAGCAATCCGGCAGGCTTTAAAGGACACCAAAGTCCAGTGGAATGCTAAGACAATAATAATGGCAACCTAGGATTCTAGACCGAGCTAAAATATTTGTTAAGACTGAGAGTACAGTGAGATATAACAACTAATACAAATGGACGCTTATTGATCTCAGATTTGATCATTTCATTTGCCTTCGTGTTGTAATAAACGTGAAGTAAACCTGATTGTGCCTTCAAGGGGCAGGCTGGGGTGGCGGATAGGAAACTGGGGACATTAAAAGGGAATAAGAAACAAAATCCAGGGGCCAGAGTGATAGCACAGGCTTCGCATGCAGCCGACCTGGGTTCAATCCCCGGCATCCCATATGGTTCCAAGCACCACCAGGAGTGACTCCTGAGCACAGAAAATACAGGATCGTTGTTTCCCTGGAAATCCAAGAGTCGGGAAGAGGAAGAAGCATATAGAGCATACAGAGAAGCGTGAACTCTAGCTAATCTATTTCTAGGATGAACCAGGGAGTCACAAGGGTTCAACATAACATAAAAAACAAACAAGTCAGTAAATCAAAGCGGGCCAGACATTGTACAAATAATGAAACATAAAAATGACCTAGACTTATGAGCAATCCACTTCAATAAACTTGATTCTCTTAAGGAACAAGGGCGGACCTAGGAACATTTCAGCACACATGCTTGAGCCTGGAGCTGGAGGCTGTGTGAGGTGTTGGGGATCGAACCCAGGGTCAGCTGCATGCAAGGTAGGCCTCTTTCCTGTGTGTGTTTCTCTGGCCTCCTTTTGGTTTTAGCTACATGCATGACCCTGGACTAAACCGCCCTCTACAAGCTTTCCATGGCCAATGAGAAGTAAGGTGTGTGGGGTGTGTGTGTGGAAGGGTCCTTTCCCATCTCCTCAGAAAAGGACCAGGATCCTTCACCATTCTCCCTTTTGTCCTTCCTTACTCTTGATGTTTTTGGTTTGGGGGCCACGACTGGTGTTGCTCAGGGGCCATCCGTGGCTCTGTGCTTGGGCAGTGCTCAGGAGACCACCTGCTAGGTGATCCCCGTAACCTCTGTAGCAGTAATCCTTCCTTTCTCTCAGACAAGACTCAGGCTGGGAAGAACTTGCTGAATAGGATACTCCTTATCAGTCGCGAATCAATGGTAATTTGAGAGAGAAATAAACTCTGAAGGTAACCGAGTGGCTCCTGGTTTTATTGTTGTTGTTGTTACCGGAACTTGGCTGTCCCACTGAAAATCTAAGCTTCACTTCCTTGAAGCGACACCCAGAGAGGCCTTGGCAATCCACTGGATTCTTCTAGCTCCTTTGACCTTGCTCTTCAGAAGAAACGATTGCTTCTCCCTGCCTGTGTTTATCTCACTGGACCTCTAGTGCTAGCCCCTCGTAAGGAGATGTCTTCCTCTACTCACGAGGTCGCCGTTATCTTCACAATTACTTTGATGAGAAATCATGTATTGACTTGTGCCACATTTTTATTGTTTTAAATTGCTAAGGGGCTAACATATGCCTCAGAGACCTGGGCCCTACGCAAACAGGATGAGAACGCTATTCAGGTCTCCCAAAGAAGAATAGAAAGAGCTATGCTTGGAATATCACGTTTCACTCAAATGAGAGAACGAATCCGGAGTTCCGACATCCGTCTATGATCAAGGATCAGGGACGCTGTCTCATTTGCCAAGGTGTCGAAAATCAGATGGGCTTGTCACGTAATGAGATTTAAAGACGACCGCTGGACTAGAGCTGTTACCGATTGGATTCCACGGGATGTCAAAAGACCGCGTGGCCGCCCACCTTCCAGATGGTCAGACTTCTTCGTCAAGATCATGAACGATCGGTTTGAGGCCCTTCATGTTCCCGGAGCGAACAGATGCCATTGGGCTACACTAGCACGCGACAGGGACAAATGGAGACGTTACTGGGGCCCGCTCGAGCAAATCGACGACTAACGGGAAGTTAAGTGATTAAGTGATCCTCATAGCAACTATCTGTATTTGGGGCACCCCTGATTGCTTTCAGGAGTGAACCCTGGTGAGGCTTAGGGAACCACAGGCAGTGTCAGGGGTTCCAACGATGTTTGCAGCTGCTGCAGCCACACGCAAAGCAAGTCCTTAACCCCTGGACTCCTTTCCAGCCCCTGTGGTACTCATCTTTGGACGGAGGGTTGGGGTACATCTGGTGGTGCTCATAGCTAACTCCTGGTTCTGTGCTTGGGTCACTTCTGGTGGGGCTGGGGATTGAATCTAGGTTACAGCTGCCATGGCCACATACAAGACAAGCCCCCTACCCCCTGGGTTCTCTCCTCCATGCCCCCCCACCAGAGGAATCATTTTAATGGCCCCCAACAAAGACATTAGAGTTAAGGAAGTTAAGTTCCCCAAGGCTATATATATCTGATCAGTAGGCAAAACAGGATTTGAACCCACATTGGTTTTGCTTCAAAACCAATTTTCTGATCAACCCACTTGTTCCTTCTCTGACCCAGAGCTATGCAAGCTCATGGAGTCCAAAGGCTCCACCCCGCCCTGCTTCTGACCAGGGCTTTCCCTAGAAAGAAGCCTTGATTAGAAGAGGCTCTAGATAAATACAATTGTGTCCCCACTGTCTCTCCTCCTAGTTATCCATCCATTCTTTTTTTGGTTTTTGGGCCACACCCAACAGTGCTCAGGGGTTACTCCTGGCTCTGCACTCAGGAATCACTCCTGGCAGGCTCAGGGGACCACATGGAATGCTGAGGATCAAACCTAGGGTGGGCAAGTACAAAGTGAGCGCCTACCTGCTGTACTCTCTCTCAGCCCCAGAAAAAATAATTTAGCCCTGACTCAGCCTGAATGGAATGAGCAAGAGCAGCTGCCACTGGGAGGAGGTCATTCTTTTATTTTACTTTTCATCTTTCCATAGGTCTTTGAAGAAACTGATTCATTCTCAAGTCTTATTTTCACTAATTCTTTACTAATTCCATTTGATTAAAAACCTTACTGGATTTGTTTTATTACTTAAAAGTAAAGTAAAAAGTAAAGGCCCTCCCGTTGATCGTCGATTTGCTCGAGCGGGCCCAGTAACGTCTCCATTGGAGACTTTGTTGTTACTGTGTCTGGCATATCGAATACTCTCAGTAGCTTGCCGGGCTCTCCGAGAGGGGCGGAGGAATCGAACTCGGGTCAGCCATGTTGGCTGCGTGCAAGGCAGACGCCCTACCCGCTGTGCTATCGCTTATTACTTAACTATTCTAAATTAATCGCTTGTAGATTTCTAGAATTCCAGTTGCTGAAGTTTCAGCTGTTAATTTATTTTCCCTTGCTGTTGTGATAAATTATCACACCCTTGTGCTAAAAGTCACAAACTTGTCATCTGACAGTTCTCTAGGTCAGTGTTTAGGCTGCTTCAAGATTCAGCTGTGGGCTGTGGTGATAATACAGTGGGGAGGGCGTTTGCCTTGCATGCGGTTGACCCGGATTCCACCCTTGGCATCGCATATGGTCCGCTGAGCCCCGCCAGGAGTGTTCTCTGAGCGCAGAACCAGGGGCAAGCCTTGAGGACCACCAGGTGTGACTGAAAAAATGAAAATAACATTTTGCTGGAATGACTGTACAGCAGGTAGGGGAGCACTTGCCTTGCTTGCAGGGAACTGGGTTCCATTTCAGGCACCAGGGGTCTCCTGAGCCCCGCAAGGCAGCGACAAAGAATTGTAAGAGATAAATAAATAGCTCAGTTGGCTAGAGCACCCAGGTTCCATGTGAGGACCAGGTGGCCCCCTGCACGTCACCCAGAGTAGTCCAGGAAAGAATCCACTGCCAAGATCCTTTTTTTTTAAATGTAGGAGTATTGCTATTTATTCAGTCATTGATTAGGCTATATTGATTGAATTGGGCATAAACTCTGCCTTACTCCCCCCCCCCCCCCCTTTTTATAAATTTATTTATTGAATCGCCGTGAGAGCAGTTACAAAGCTTTTGAGTCTAAGTCTGGGTCATGCAATGATGAAACACTCGTCCCTTCACCAGTACCCATTCTCCACCACCAAAACCCCCAGCATACCCCGCATCCCACACCCTCTGCCCACCTGTGGAGCAGATGATTTCCATATTACTCTCTCTCTACTTTGATTACATTCAATATTTCAACCCCAGACCCACCATTATTATTTGGATTTTACCCCAACACTCAGATCTGCCAAAAAGACAACCATAGACAATTTGTTTTCTATTGCTGATAATGAATAACATATGATGTCGCACGGCCGCAGTAGTGGCCACACAATTTTGGAATTCCGAAATTTTAACAATTAAATCTGGAGGGATTTCTGCCCAAACTTCTGGGTTCCGAGATTTGTTTCTGAGTCTCTGGGATTATGGCCATTAAGCAGCTTAATCAGGAGCCAGAGAGGCCGTTCGTGGGTGGCGATTCAGGGTCCCGTTGGGATGGAGAGGAAAGGGCCAGTTCCACCCCCATCCCGTGAGGCCCTGAGAGTCTCGTCACTGTGGGCCCAAACCTGACTGTCCAATAGCCTTGGAGGATGGCAGCCACCGAGCTGCCAGGGGGAACAGGCCAAGGCACGAAACCTATTCCCACCTGGGGTGGCCCAGCGCTGGTAACCTACTGCAGGGACCAGACACATTTCTGCCAAAAGCCGCTGGGTTTCGAGATTTGTTTCTGAGTCTCTGGGATCATGGTCGTTAAGCAGCTTGATCAGGAGTCATAGAGGCTGTTCATGGACGGCGACTTGGGGTCTCATTGGGGCGAGGAGGAAAGTGCCGGCTCCACCCCCATCCTGTGAGGCCCCGCATGTCCTGTCACTGAGGACCCAAACCTGACTGTCCAATGGTCTCTGGAGGATGGTGGCCACTGAGCTGCCAAGAGGGTAGAGGGACAGCACCCTTTCCCCCAATGGGGTGGTCCGGCGCCGGTAACCTACTGCGGGGACCTGATGCATTTCTTCCAAAAGTCGCTGGGTTCTGAGACCTACCTGTGAGTCTCTGGGATCATGGCCGTTAAGCAGTTTGATTAGGAACCAGAGAGGCCTTGCCTCTAATTATATAGCTGAGCCAGAGGGGGTTTGTGGGTGTGTCTCCCACATACCTAACTTTTGGCCGCTTACTTTCTTGGTGGATTGGCATGATAGCACAGCGGGTAAGGTGTTTGCCTTGCATGTGGCCGACATGGCCAACCTGGGTTTGATTCCTCCGCCTCCCTCAGACAGCCTGGCAAGCTCTCGAGAGTATCTCGCCTGCACGGCAAAGCCTGGCAAGCTACCCATGATGTATTCAATATGCCAAAAACAGTAAAACAGTCTCATAATTTGTTGTGAGACCTTACTGGTGCCCGCTCGAGCAAATCAATGAACAACGGGAGGACAGTGCTACAGTGCTACTTTCTTGGTAAACTTGGCCCCAAGTTTTTGGGGTCTGGTCAAAGGCACAGAAGCAATTTTGGGGTATCTAAAAGTCTGAAGGCACCATCAGGCTGCTGATGCACTCGCCTCATAGGTGTAGACTGACCTGCTGGTGGCACCATATGCCCCCTCCTTCCCTCCTCCCCCAAGATCCTTTTGGCCCCATCTCCATGCAGAATGCCATACGGGGCTGCCTGGGCACTTGGGCACTGCCTCCCCTTGCTGGGCGCTGAGGACAGCCTCCTCTGCTAGGCTGGCCCTGACTCCCCTGGGGGCCCCTCCTTCTGCCTCGAGCTAGAGAAAGTTAAGCAAGCCAGGAAAGTCTCTTTCTCCTCAGCCCCTTTACTGTAATTACACCCACAGAATCCCCTGGGCTGTACCTGGGGAAGAGCCGTGGCCTGAATTACTTCCTCCCCACCAAGCCCCAAATTTATATGCTGGCTCCTAACTACCAGGACCTTCTGGCTCTGGAGAGAGGGTACTGAGAGAGGTCATCCTATTAAAGTGAAGTCACTGTGTGGCCCTAAGCCAGGATGACAGCAGCACACAGGAGGACACCCACACTGACCTGGCAAAGACACGATGGCCATCGTTCAGCCACTGGGAGAAACCGCAGTGCACACCAATGCTGGAGACCTCGTGAGCTCAGAATTCTAGGCACCAAAGCTGCAAGAAAGTCAAATTCTGTTGGTTAGACCACGTAGGCTGTGATGCTTGGTCAATGAATTCCTCGCTAGGGCTGGGTCACTTGCCTATCTATTATAATGGGAACTTTTTAGAAAGGTCTGGTCAAAGGCACAGAAGCAATTTTGGGGTATCTAAAAGTCTGCATCAGGCTGCTGATGGGAATGAAAGGGAATTTTTTAATTTTTTTAAAATTGATTATCACCGTGAGATAGTTATAAGCTTTCATGTTTGGGTTACAATCACAATGATCAAACACCCATCCCTCCACCAGTGCACATTCCCCACCACCAATATCCCCGGTATAACCCCCCTTTCCCACCCTCCCTCTGCCTCCATGGCAGACATGATTCCCCATAATCTCTCTCTACTTTGGGGCATTATGGTTTGCAATACAGATCCTGAGAGGTTATCATGTTTGGTCCTTTATCGACTTTCTGCACACAACTCCCATCCCGACCGATTCCTCCAGCCATCTTTTTCTCAGTGATCCCTTCTCTATTCCAGCTGCCTTCTCCCCTTCGGTCATGAGGCAGGCTTCCAGCTATGGAGCAATCTATCTGTCCCGTGTATCTACTGTCCTTAGGTGTCAGCCTCATGTTATGTTGTTTTATACTTCACAAATGAGTGCAGTCCTTAGAAAGGGAATTTTAACAATGACTTTTCTTTTAAAAGAAAACAATGCGGGGCTGAAGCAATAGTATAACAGGTAGAGGTTTGTCTTGCATGCAGCTGACCTGGGTTCAAACCCATCCCCCCCAACCCCCCCACCCCGCCTAATCCCTGGAGACCACCAGGAGTGATTCAAGCCAGAGCCAGCAGCACATTGGGTCACAACAACAACAAGACCCCAGACAAAACAATCTAGTGACATGATGAACTGGCGAGGGGGGTGGGCACCTCAGGGGCTCACCTGGTGGTGCTCAGGAGACCAGAGAGTACACAGGAATCAAAGCTAGGGGACAGAGATGTGCCCCAAGACTTTAGGCTATCTCCCTGTCCTGATTTTTCTTTTTTAAGACCAAAATGTGGAGCTGGAGTGGTAGTTAAGCGGGGAAGGCATTTGCCTGGCATGTAGGCAACCTGGCTTTGATCCCCAGCACTCCATATGGTACCCTGAGTACTGCCCGGAGTCACCCCTGAGTGCAGAGCCAGGAGTAAATGCTGAGCACCTCTGGGTATGGCCCCCAAACAGAACATAAAATTAATACAGCATGTGGGTTGTGCATTTCTTAGAACTTACTCTAGAATGTGAACCATAGCACAGCAATAGCACAGCAGGTAGGGTGTTTGCCTTGCACACAGCTGACCAGGGTTCGATTCCTCCATCCCTCTTGGAGAGCCTGGCAAGCTACCGAGAGTATCCCGCCTGCATGGCAGAGCCTGGCAAACTCCCCGTGGCGTATTCGATGTGCCAAAAACAGTAACAAGTCTCAGAATGAAGACATTACTGAGGCCTGCTCAAGCAAATCAATGAACAACAGGAGGACAGTGCTACTGTGAGTTTAAACCAAATCACCCAGTAACTATGGCTAAATCAGTCAGTAGCTGCCTTTTCACTTAAAAAATAATTGGGTGGCCACATCCAGCACTGCTGAGGGCTTATTCCTGGCTCTGTGCTCAGGGATCACTGTTGGCAGGGCTCCGGGGACCATATGTGGTGCTCAGGATTGAACCCTGGTGTGCCAGTCAAGTGTCTTGTCTACCATACTGTTGCTCAACTCCTCCATTTCATTATTAAGACATAAGCGGGGCTGGAGAGACAGCAGAGCGGTTGAGGTGCTTGCCTGGCACATGGCTGTTCCTGGTTTGAATTGCCAGATCTTCATATGGTCTCTCAACATGGCTGACCCGAGTTCGATTCCTCCACCTCTCTCGGAGAGCCCGGCCAGCTACCGAGAGTATCTCGCCCACACGGCAAAGCCTGGCAAGCTCCCTGTGATGTATTCGATATGCCAAACACAGTAACAACAAAGTCTTACAATGGAGACGTTACTGGGCCCGCTCAAGCAAATCGATGAACAACGGGAGGACAGTGACAGTGACAGTGACAGTGACAGGGACAGCATATGGTGCCCTGCGCCCCACAAGGAGTGACCCCTGAGCACTGCTGGGTGTGGCCCCAAAACAACCCTTGCTGCACATCACTGCCCCCCAGTGTACCCAAAGAAACAACAAAAAGCAAGCTCACAATTGCTGGGAATTCTGTCTTTAAAACATTTCCCAAAATTAATTTTTATATTTTGCTTTTGGCTAATGCCCAACAGTGGTCGGGAGCACATGCTGCTGAAAATCACACCAGTGCCCTTAGAGCCTTGGAGCATCTCCCCACACCCCTCTGCCTCAAAAGATTTAATTTCCCCCCCTCTTTGGAGTTTTTGAGCCACACTTGGCATTATTTCGGGGCTACTGCACTCAGGGGACCATATGTGATATTGAATCAACCTGGGACAACTGGGTTGGAAGCATAGTACAGTGGGTAGGGTGCTTGTCTTGCCTTGGCTAAAAGGCAAGCAGTGCTGGATATGGTCCCCCAAGCATCACCAGGAGGCACCCCAAAGCACAGGGGCATGAGTAATCCTAAGCACCACCAGGTGTGCCCCCCAAAACAAAACAAACCAATTCATAAAAACACGCTTTGTTCATGATATTAGTATATCCATATCATTAGCCATGAGCATTAATTCATTCGAATGCCTAACAACCCAAATCGACGATTACACTTGAATAGATGTGGGTCACTGCTGGCAGTTTCTATCTTTGTTGTCTATGCACCAACATCCAATTACAGTGAAGGAGAAATTGAGAAGTTCTACATGGAGCTGGAAAAGTTCTATAAAGAAGACCACACCTTCTACAAGATCATTGTCAGTGATTTTAACGCCAAGATAGGACCAAGAAGATCAGCCGATGAACTCCACATCGGGACCCATGGCCTAGAATGGAACGAACAGGGTGACAGACTGTCTGAGTTCATCATGTCAATCAAGACCATCCATGGTAACTCACAGTTCCAAAAGGCTGAATCTAAACGTTGGACATGGGAGTCTCCCGGTGGACGGTTCCACAATGAAATAGACCACATCATATTCAATCGGTGGTTTTGCCTGACCGATTTTGCTGTTGTCCCAAAATTCCAAACGGGATTGGACCACCATCTCCTTCATGCAAAATTCTACCTCACAGAACAGGGAGAAAAGAATGCAAAGTTTAAGAAGAGAACTCCCAGAACGACCACCAACTGGGAGCTCTTTGGCTCTGTTGCGGCAACATGGGAAGATGCCGTCATTGACAACATTGATGAGGAATACAATCGAATGATTCAGCACCTCCATGATTGTGCAAGGAATGCCAAGAGAGAGATAACCACAAAAAAAACGCCTTTCTTCAAACACTGTTGAACTTATTCGCAACGTGGCTTGCCACATGCCTCAGGCAACCACAAGTGACCGTCCGAGCTGGCAAAACAGTGCAGAAAAGCGATCAAGGATGACCTCAAAGAGAGAAGAGCAGCAGTGCTGGTAGATGTGGCAGAAGCCGGGAAAAGCATTCGTAATGCCTGCCTGTCCTTCACCAACTAAAAGACCAAGATGAATGCCCTCCGACATCCTGATGGATCTATCACATCTTCCAGAAGGGCAATGGAGAAGATTATTCATGACTTCTACTCAGATCTCTTTAGTAGCCACGTCCACTTGCCCAGATACCAAATTCCACAGGATGGATATGTCGTTCCCAATGTTCTCCCTTCCGAAATCCAACATGCCATCTCGTCGGTAAAGAAACAAAGAGCACCTGGCCCAGACAAGGTTAGACCTGAACACCTGAAGAACTTACCGTCAGTACTCATCAATACACTGGCTCGGCTCTTCACACGCTACCTGTCTGAATGCAAGGTTCCATCCCAATGGAAAAGCAGCAAGACTGTACTACTATACAAGAAGGTAGACATCCATGACATTGGCAACTATCCCCCAATATGCCTATTGTCTGTCATCTACAAACTGTTCATTCGAGTCATCCTGAATAGGATTGGCAGAACACTAGATGAAGGACAACCATGCAAACAAGCCGGGTTCCGAAAAGGATTCAGCACCATCGACCATATCCACATGATAACCAAGCTCACTGACGTTTCTCGGGAGTTCAAGATGCTGCTCTGTCTAACGTTCATTGATTTAAAGAAGGCCTTTGATTCTGTTGAGACGGAAGCAGTCATGGAAGCCCTAGCCAATCAGGGCGTACAAACTCAATACATCAGGATCCTCTGTGAGCTTTATTATGGATTCACTACCAGGATCTCACCATTTTACAAAGAAGTAATCATCCATGTCAAGAGAGGGGTTCGGCAGGGTGATACCATTTCACCAAAACTCTTCAGTGCCACCCTCGAGAACATCATGTGACGACTGGAATGGAAATGGAAAGAGTGAAGATAGATGGTCGGCAACTACACCACCTCCGCTTTGCTGATGACATCGTTCTAATAACACCAAACATCAGCCAAGTGGCACAAATACTAACCGACTTCGACCGTGAGTGTGGAAAGGTCGGATTACAACTGAATCTCACAAAGACAATGTTCATGAGAAACAGTCTTGTTCCTGATGTTCCATTCACTCTCAAGGGAACCACCATCTCTGAATGCAACAGTTATATATACCTAGGTCGAGAAATCAACATGATGAATGACCTGGCACCTGAGTTATGCAGAGAAAGAGAGCGGCTTGGAATGCCTTCAAAAGCGTTGAAGAAATAACTAAGAAGACAAAGAACCTCCAGCTCCTAGCACATCTCTTCAATTCCACTGTTCTTACTGCATTAACATATGCCTCAGAGACCTGGGCCCTACGAAAACAGGATGAGAACACTATTCGGGTCTCTCAAAGAGGAATCGAAAGAGCTA